GGCAGTGGCGTGATGGTGGCCCACCAGGTTTGCCTGGGTGTTTATCTGGGTACTGCGGAATTCCAGGATAGGAATTGGGAGGGCATGGTGGATAGAGTATGTGCTAGGTTGTCTAAATGGACTTGGGTCCTGCCCCAGCTGTCCTATAGGGGGAGGGTCCTGGTTGCCAATAACCTGATTGCCTCTATGCTGTGGCATGTATTTATGGTACTGGAACTGCCACCAACACTGGTGGAAGTGTTGCAACGGAAATTGGTGGACTTTTTTTGGACTGGGGAGCATTGGAGTAGAGCTTCTGTTTTATATTTGCTGATACAAGAAGGTCAGATTTTCAATATTGAAAAACTGATGGTGGCAAAACCTTGAGTCAATATATAAAGTGACTTTTTGAAAATGGATTTTGAAATTCAATTCTTGATTCAATATATAAAGTGACTTTTTGAAAATTGAAAATAAGATGCAGTCAACATCGATATTACTGAAAATATTCAACATTGAATCAATTCATGCTCAGGGATGATCAGTCAACATTGATTCATGGTGGGTTCTTCAACATTTATAAATTTATTAATTATCAATTTATTAAGTATAGATTATGTATTTGCTTATGTTCTTTTATTTCTCAGTAAGTATTGTTCACACTGTTTCCATAATGTTAGCTTACAGTGTACTGCTAATTTTTCCTAGCAAGGGTGCTAATGCTACCTTCACGTGCCATCTCTGATAAGTTCCCGATTTGAAATATCATTTGATAGCGCAGGCTTCATTACAAATTATGTGTAATTACAGCGGTTCGACTCCTGTAAGCTGTTGCTTGTGTGCAGCATTTTTATTTATAATCTACCTAACATGTTTTAGAACAATTTTCCGCAGACCAGCTATGATCTACTAGCGCGGTGCTATGCTAACTGACACAAATTGTTGTCCCACCATTTTTCATTAAGCTCCACAGCTAAATTACTTGAACAGAAGACACTCGTTCCAATTTCACAAGTATTATCTTCGGGGAAGCATGGCAAGACAGCATGAGACAAAGGGTTTTCTAGTTGCATTTTACAAATGCATTTCTACTTAGATACTATATAGGGGGCATGATCCGCCCCTTAACTCTATGTCTGTAAAGTACTTGCAATGATTTATCCATCCACCAGGGAGAACAGTGAGCAGTGATTATGAAAGTGACTTACGTGAAATCAGGTACTGTAACTGCCCCTTTTGGAGATGAGGCGGACCCAAGATGTGTGCAATACAATAATTACAAGCCCAAACAAAGTAATAAGACTGATATTGTTAAGCAATGGGGGACGTGTGATATATGAAAATTAAACTGTACTGTATTTTGGCATGTAAATCATACTGTATTATTCAGTACTTTATAAAATAAAATAATCCCTCAGTGTATTTTTTCTTTCTGCCTTTCTTTTAGATGCAAAAGTACATATTACTCTTCTGCCTCATTTGTAGCCCTTTATTTGAATACATCATGTGTTTGGAGATTAAGACAATCTATTAAAACTTAGTCTTTTTATTTTTGTTACAAAAACCATTGAAAATACTGTTTTGCCCTGTAAAACGGCCCCGAGACTGCTGCTGACGGCCGCAGCCTTTCATATTCACAACAGGAGGGAACGCGTGAATGCGTTGTTGAAATCTGAGCTCCAGCACGCGGGGGAATACTAGCCATTATTTTGTGTGTTTGGGTGTTGGGTAACTAACCTAAGTTTATCAACTTGCCCATTATGTTGATGTGTATAACAGAATGTGGTGACCAGTGGCCTGTACTACAAAGGCGGTTTAACCAAATCAGACTTAACCCCGAGGTAATTTGCGAACGCGAGGTTGACAAAATCAGGTTGACTCCAGCGGGGCTAATCAGTACTACGATGCCAGTTAAGAAGTTGATTTGTTAAATCGGTGTTAACTGCATTGGAGTTTGTGCGCGTTCACATATATGGAGCACGTTCGGCAACGCAAGGCACCGTTTGACTCATAGCGCGATCTCCATATGTTTCACGGAGGAAGACTGCATGCTAATTATGCAGCGTTATGAGGAGTTTAAATCAACCCTTTAAAGAAAGTCCAATACCACTGCAGGTAACAAAAGCAGGCAGGCTTGTTGGCAACGTATTGACGACGGAGAAAATGTATACGTACATTTACACGGTCATAAAACGTGGTCTAAAATATCTCACGACCGAGTATTAGACAATTGTTTTCTGAAAAGAATTGAAATACTGTTAATAATTACAGAGGCTAACAGATGCGACACAATTCAGAAGTCACCTATTATATGCTGCTAAGTAATGTAATGCTCCCTGAAGTTCCATTACTGTAATGTTACTCATAATGTAAACTTAATGTTAACAATAACTGATCCGATTTCAAATGCAATAGCAGTGAAAAGTGTACATGGCAGCAAGTCGAGATGAAATATAAAACATCATGTCAAGTGGTAGGGCTATGTATTTATATTTCAACTCATCATGAAAGATTTGTTGTGTCTAGCCTCCACATAATAGCGTGTTTCTGTGTTTTACAGCTAATAAAAAGGTGTCTGTTCATATGACACTTAATAGAAGGGGAGCCACTGTTTAACAAACAATTAAATGATTTACAACAGGACAAAACAGAAGCATATGTGTAGTGAGAAAACGACTAGGAACCTGTCACCTCGGTTACAGTTTTTTCCAATCATTTTAACGCGTGTCTCAATACCATGTCCACTTTTTCAAAACACTTAACACATGCACCATACCATTGGACCATGTGAGCTAAACTATG